GAAATATCAGAAAAAAAAATGAATAGAAAAAGAAAAGAAAAACCAACTCAGTACATCTGAGGAACCCAGGAACTGAAAAAGAAATCTTGTTATTCCTTGTATTTTTATATTGTGTTTTCTGACGTGCCTCAATTCAACATTAAAATATTCAGTGTAGATGCTAAGGGATTATTACTGTGTGATAATTATATAGTATGTGGCTGGGGTTTTGGGAAGCAATTAAAACTAAGAAAAACCTGTTCTGGATATGTCCTATCAAATTGCAAATGAACTTCAATTTCTAGCGTGTTTTTATTCAAGGAAAACATGACATGTCACCTTGATTTTGTAACAGAGAACGGTATTTTGAAACACACATCACTTTTCTTATGACTACTGTATTCCATTATGAATCTGTTGGGGAGGGGGGATCTCAGCTTGAATCGTCCAAGGCCATACGCCTAAAACACACTGTTCTGGAAAACAGGTGTTGGACTATTGTTTTCTTATTGTTAGAATTCTATCTCAAATACCACCAGCTTTTTAAAACAGAAATGCCTAGGTCTTGGGAGATGATAACACGTAGACATCTGAGCAATTAATGTAGATATCAAAAATGGTTCATCCATACCAATAAAGACCTTCAGTATAAACAAATATAATTGACAGCATTGGGTGTCAATGATCTATAAAATACTCTCTGTTTTGTATACGATGGCAGTGGAGATTTAATAGGCACAACAGTTGCTATAAAATGCTATAATGTTGTACATAGCAGAGCTGCTAATTAGAATTGTCAATCAGTGATTGATCACTAGCTTATAAACTGCATAAGATGTTACTGCATCCCAGCAATTGTGTTATCTTAAGGGTACAAGAAAATGCAGCATTCAGCTCCTAGCTGTCAGCAAGTTTTCACTGAATGAAGGTCTGTTCTATCACCACAGACTGTTGAACAGCCCTTCTGAGAACTCCTAGAGCAGCCTCAGCTTCAAAAAGATTGCTTTTATGAATGATAACTGTGTTGTACAAAAATTGACTGGATTTTAATTGTTATACAAAAAATGATATAATGTCTAGTTCTACATTTCTACCTCTAGGATTTTATATAAAAAAATACATATTAAGGTCCTTCCTGCTTATGTAGAGACATTGAATAGTCTGAGTCACTTTTTCCTCCGCTTAACTTTGGTCCAGATGTTCTCTCTTCACAGTGTGTGTTGCGAAGAAGTTGGCCATTTTGCCTGTAGTCCTCTACCTGAAAGGTGGCTGCATTTTAACAGTAAGACCTGTTTTGTGTGTGCATTGCTTTTAAAGTACTTTGGTAAGATTACTGTGGTGAAACATAATTTAATATGACAAGCTTCAAATAAAATTGAAAGCATTTAAATACAGAAGATAAGTGTCTGAAATGTCAGGGGGCAAGCCACAGTTTGACACAAGCATGTAATGCCATTACTCAATAGACCTACATTTAAAAAGAGCCAGGAGATCTCCCTGTACCTTAGGTAGTTGAGTTTAAATGTGAACGTGAGATGTATTTGGTTTTTGGGGGTGAAAGTTGAATGACTTTCTTGGGTCCACTTAGAGGACAGTGGAATCAATCATACTTGAAAAATATAACTATAAACAAGCTTTCATTTCTAAACAAATACAAGTCTGTTGTTATACTATGTTTTTACATTCTAGGCCATATTTCGGCTTGCAATACACTCACACGTCTTATCGCTCTAGCGGGAAACAATCCACCTTTCCTGTCTGGCATCGGCAACAGGAAATGCATCATGACTACTGACTAATACAAAATGTGGAAGTTGTTTCAACACTTAAACATTGAATTGATCACGTATTTGTATCTCTCTGTATGGAAACCTGCATCACCCATATTTTTGCTTGGAGAAATTAAGTGGTGAGTGTTAGCCATATTTCCTTTCCTTTCAATGTTGTTGGGTATCGTAGGAAGCAGGAAGGACCAGAATGGATGATCGTCAGCATACTTCTGGGTAGCTTTCCAGGCACTGAAACAGGATTATGAATCATCCTTACTTGTATGGAAGCATTAGGTATCTATTGACAAAATGGATAATTGTGGTGGTAATAGGGTGAGTCATTCAAGATCAAAGGGAACAATGTCTTTGGGATGTCACGATGGAAAAAGACAATAAATCCATATAGATTGTTTATTTACTTAGAGAATAGTTGTGACTTGCTCTGTCAAATAACACCTTGCACTTAGCTCTACCAGATTTAAAGTGTGTCCCAAACTGTAAATATTAGAAAAGTTTATTCAGTGCCGAATTAATAAAGACACCCATCATACTAAATGATAATCATTCAGAACAGTAAAGACTTGTTGATTGACTACTGCCAATTATCATCTCTAAGAACCCTTCAACAGATAGCTTCTTGTATACTGATCCTTGTCAGTATTTTATAAAAATAGTCAGCATCTCATTCAGAAAGGCTTAATATCCTCAGATTTGGAAAGCACAAAAAACCCTGTTAGAACAGATGGCTTGCTTGATTGATGCCCTAATACAGTTTCAACTCTGTTTAGTCACTTTAACAGGAAAGTGTTTTAAGGATTCTACCAGTTGGCTTGTCAAATTAACATCACACACCAGTTTGTGTGTAAAACCACAAGCATAATTCACTTGGTGACCTGTGAGTGGGTGAAGTAATATTTAAAAAGCAACATTTAGCTTTAATATGCATTGTTTATATTATCAGACAGAGAGGTTGGCCAATCAGAATTAACTTCTTGTGTGCTATCTATATGCCAACTCTTGCTGAAGTCGCACCAATTATTAATGTAAAATGAAATAGTGGTAGGGCTTACAAAGCATATGCATATGCACTTAGTGCCAGTGCTTAATGGCCCCATTTTCCAATTACTGTTGGGATTTTGACTTTGGAACATTCTTAAGTTAAACATTGTCACAGGGCCAGATCTAATTGAACTGACATGAGTGGAGGAATAATGTTTTAAATTCATGTATACATAGTTCATTAAGGCTAATACAGAGCAAACACCACATTTAAAGCAACATTTGTAGTCTCTGCCTCCATTCATTTAGCTCAGTCACTGTCACTTAAGTGTGCTATGTATGCTCATCTTAGCTGACATTCTTTTTGTCCTTTGTGTGTAAAATGCTGTTAATAGGCAAGAAAAATCAAGAGATCTGGGAAACTAGCCACCTTTGTTCACATAAAAACCCTCTGGGTCATGCTGCCATTCACTAATTAGCCCTGCTTGGTTTGAATGGGCATAAGTGGTAGTAATAGAAGACTCCTCTGTACTGAACATGAGCAATATGAAATCCTGCCCCTTGGAAATAGGACGTCCTGTGGTCCCCAGTTAGTTGTACAAATTGATTTCCTTGTATCAGTCATGCATGTTTGACGGGGAGTGTGAATGAGGGGAGGTAGGAAGAAGAAAAACAGAGAAGTGAGAGGAAGAGAGAGAGGGATAAGTAGAGGCAACAGATAAATGTGAGGGAGAAGAGAAGATAAGTGTTATAAGGTAAAAGGGAGAGAAACGAAGAAAAAAGGGATGTGGGAAAAGAGAGGAAAACAGGGAGAAAGAATGGAAGAAGAGAGACATGAGTGCTTGGTTTCTGCGTATTCCATTATGAAGGAGTGTGCAAAAACCAAATTAAGGACATGTGTAAACATTGGTTTACACCTCTCCCTTTTATCCAAGAAGATCCTCTGGACTTCTGTTCCCTTTTTTCTTTCTTTTCCCTGCCCTTTTTTCTCTTTTCCTCTCACTGACATGACTTTCAGTTGTCTTCCACTTCAGGATGTCGCTCATCCCCAGTAGCTTCCATAATAACCTTTGACTTCATGTGGGAGGGAGGCTTCTCTCCCATCATTTAGTATGCAGCGGTGCACAAGATCTCTGTCTACGTTTCCTACACTCTGTGAAGAGTCCTCTGTTGAAAAGCACATAGGGTTTTCTTCAGGCCACTAATACAAAGGAAACATAGCAGGAACTAGCAACATAGCTCTGATTAAAATCTTTAATATCTCCTTCTGCTAAAAGATACATGGGTATATACATTAAGAAACAGCATAAAAGAACCAAATACTCCTTTCTAGGAATTTCTTTCTTCTCTTTCCTATTTATTTTGAGCTCAGCCATGGTCCCCTGTGGTCCCTAGTTAGTTGTACAAATTGATTTTTTGTATCAGTCATGCATGTATTGGATCTGCAAACATGAATAAAGGGGAGTCAAGTGATCTACAATGGTCTCCATAAAAATGGAGAAATTGCCAGCATGGGTTCTTCTGTCCCTCTGTGTAAGGAGGAGGTAGAGGACACTCTTCCATGCCTTCTTTGATTGCTCCTGGCTGCAGTTGCTTTTTGCTGCCCTCAGCGTCCTCTTTGGCAGACTGGCCTTGGACTTCTCCAAGACTGTGTGCATCTTTTCTATCCTGTCCTTAGCAGTCAACAGGAGTGTAGTCAGCTTTGACAGTTGTCTGCTGGGCCAGACCAAGATGGTGACTTGAAAAATCCACAGAAACTGAGTCATAGGTCTGGGGCAAACATTGCATAAATGGCTTTGGCTCCAATCAGCAAAGTCTGATACTACATTCAACCAGGTTCACGTCAAACCAGTTTCAGACATTTTCAGACTGGTTTATGTGCACTGAACATCTGTTCTTTTGCAGGTTTAAACCAGTTTCTGATCACTTAAACCAGTTTATGTGTAATGTCTGTCCCTCGCCATAAGGACTGGCTCCAATGATGCCCTCCAACTCTTCTGCTTCCTAGTCCAGGCACAGTTGAATTTAGGCATTTCACTTGGTAACAAAACATGGACGTTTGTCACACTGGACCATCTCAGTAGGCACAGGTAGGACTTGGTTCTGCCCTCACATGTACTCAGCACCCCAATAGACCCAGCATAAAGAATATAGTTAGTACAGCTGATTTCATCCCTGGAATAAAAAGGAAGTATAGATTAAATTGTGAATCTCTGGGTACGTCTACACAAGATGTTTACTATGCCGCTCAGTAATTAGCTGTGCAGTAAATATTGTGCGCCTACATATGTGCCTCTATTAGGCTTGAGTAAACTAATTTACTCTGCAGCAGGACAGTACTTGTAAACACTTGTAAAGTACTATCCTTGTAAGCACAAGTACTATCCTGCTGGCTGAGGCATAAAGGTGCTTCACTTTGGGGGCTGACTGCCAATTAGCCCCACACTGATCCATTATTGCCCTCCAGCCAACCCCTCTGCAGCACATTGAGCTATCGGGAGCATCCCCAGGCTGGTAGGCTGGCCTCCCTGGCCCCCTGCCAGCCCTGGCTGCTCCAGCCCAGCTCGATGTGCTGCTCATGATTAAACTCCAGAGTCTATCACTCCGGGGTACATATTCAAACAGCATGGCCAGGAGCAATGAACTCCGGAGTAATAAGCTCCAGAGTTTATTCATGCGTCTTAAGTGCACATGTGGATGTGCCCTCTGTGTCATAGTTCAGTTCCTTTTCTGCTTCTAGTACAATTCAAATTACTTTTTGCCCTTTACTTGAGGTAGTTCCATAGTCCAGGTCTTTATATTTTCTTTCATGCAGTGTCAAACGTTTTTATTTTCTCTAACTACATTTTTTTTTCTGAACTATTAACAGTTTGTAGTACTAAGAAATGCAGCACATACTCAAAAGTTCTTTCTAGTACACAAAATGTCTTCAGAACCTTATCTTTCTCTTAGGCTGAGAATAATTGGAGGAGTTTCTAATATACATGAGAAATTCACTGCTCCAAATACAATGAGGCATATTGCAAAAGTTTTATATCTAACCATATAATCAAGATTCAGAAATGATGTATTCAGATAAAATATAAATACTTGCCTCTGCTTCCTGAAGATAATTATCTTCAATTTAACACACACGCACACACACGTGTGTGTATGTGTGTGTGTGTGTATGTGTGTGTGTGTGTGAGAGAGAGACAGAAAATATAATTATAAGCTGAATAATTTAAAATCTCAAGTGATGGTAATGAAACACCATACATTTCTAATGTGAAAAATTTGGTATTGTTTTGTAGCTTGCAGTCCATTCTAACCCACTTCCTTGAAAGAAGGGTTGTATTCTAGACAATGTTTTATCCCTTCCACAAAGGAATTAAGTCAGGTTTATTGAAAGTATAGGGGACTGTTTACCCCAGACAAAATTACAAGGTAATAAATATGAATAATGTCAAAGTTTAACTACCCAAACCAGTGTTAATTACCCATCCCCAAGTGATTATTAGGAGCAAAAAAGAAATGAAAATGACTGTTTCATTGCAGGAAAAGCTTGTAACATAAATTTCAGGCTAGGATAGTATAAGAGTGCCTCCAAGTGGAATATGTCTAAATTCCACTTGGAAAATGTTAAAATTCAAGATGCTTATGGAATAAGTTTACTAAAATAGGCCAAAGAAATCCTATAAATTCTTCCTTTCAGCCCATTTCATTCAGTACACCACTATAAATATTTATGTGTACAGGTTAATGGGACCTGCCATCTGTTATTAGAAAGCCACAATGAAAGGACATTAATCTTAAATCAGTTTTAAAGAAACATCTTTACTTACTATGTCTGCTTGAGGTCATTATTTAATTTATTTTAATGGATAAATAAAACTTTCTTGACTCAGTGGGTGCATCTACATGTTCATGAATATACCACAGTTACTGTGCATTAAGTTTAATACTTGGACAACCAAGTACTATATTGATTCACAGTAATAGGTGCTACTGCGCAGTAGCGCTGGTGCACAGGTTTTTACAGACCCTAACTGTGCAATAGCCTAATGCTGTTGCACAGTAGCGCATTAGCACGGGTTTTACCCAGCATGCTACTGCTCAACGTTATTAGGCTACTATACAGTTAGCATCTCATGTAGACTCACCCCGCATGGAGCAATACCATAAAAATTTATTGGGAAGTGTCTCTTACTTTGCAGTACTTACTTTTATGTTCAATCTGTTAACATTGATGCCTTTAGGGCACTTCTTTGTTAAGTGTGGTACCCATTCTCTCAGCTGGTATTCAAGGTAAGGGCAAAGATCTTTTCTCTGATCCGCGCTGTGGATCTCTGATGCGCAGTAAGATCTCTGTCACATGTTTTGTATGCAGAGCTTCCATTGATGTCAATGGAAGTTCTGAGAGAGGAATGAGTACAGAATATGCATCAAGGAAGCTTCTGCCCTGAGGCTGAAGGTAAATGAACTGGAATCAATCTGTGGAAGATCTGTGGAATCAGTAAGCTATGATGTTATAGTACTGAAAAAGGCGCTAATAGACTGTACATTCTCCAGTACAAGATGACAAACTTGGTGGCACAGCCATATAAGGGAAAGACTGCTGGAATTGACAGGATGCTGCTTGCTTAGTTTCTTTTTTAGGTTTGGTCTTTGAATGGAATGAAGTGTAGTTTCATATTAACACAACTGTAATAGAAAATTATTCCCCAAATTTCTGGGGAACTGACTATATCAAACTATACTTATTTTTTCCCATGATTTATTGTAATCCTAGTGGCCCAGTTATCAGTAGTTAATCTTAGCCAGATGCAAAAGGCTTTGTGTGGTCACTCTGAATTTCACTCAAAGTATAAGTGCTATTTGAAAAGAGAAAACACCCCACTGCTTCCCTGATCTGCATATTCTTGAGGGTTTATTTAAGGTAACCATGTTCTTTATGCAGGGGAAATAATTTGGCATCAGGAAGGAAACAACAATTAAAGACATATATGCTGGATCAAGTAATCAAAATACTATGTACTGCCAATAGAATATTAGTCATATGCTAATATTGAAGTAAGATGTAAATTGAATCTTTTCCTTTTTTGTTATATATGTTTACTTGGATCATTGTTTTGTAACTAACTAAAAAGAAGTAGGGCCTTGTTACACGTTTAACTTTAGTTGGCTCAGGATGCTCTTAAGCTCTGGATTGTCCCCACATTACAATAACTAGCATAAAGTAGCTTTAAGCACTCTTTAGGCAGCTTAAAGTTATGCCACTCAAGGGCAAGATTCTCTCTGATCCATACTACCTAACTCGTGCTCCATGAGTGTGTGGCCACTCCTTAGAGATAAGCAGCCCAAGTTTCAGTCCTCCAGAATCCCAGGATTCTGTATCCCCTCCTTCCACCCTCCTGTTCTCTGAGGACAAACTTTTCACCCCCTGAACTCTACTGCCCAAGGGGTGGTACTGGCACCAAGCCAGCTCCTCCTTGCAGACCCGGAGGTGCAACCTGGCTTGGCAGCTTATAATGGCACAGACCAGTTTAGGAGAGAGGGCTAGGAGGTGGAGGGGGAGAGCAAGGTAAGAGTCCAGATTGGGGTCTCCATGAACTTGGGGCTTCCCTCCTGGGGCGGGGGAACCCATGAGCTGGTGCTACCCAATCCTAGTCCCAGTGTATTAACACATGAGACTTTATTGAACTTACTCTTCATTTCTTTTTAAACTCCTTTTTTTTTATCCTTTAATAGTTTCACAACTGACTTTCTTCATTTCACCACCCAGCTCCTGCTGCCATGCCACCCATTGCCTCTCCACCTGCCATTTCACTACCTACTCCCCATCATTAAATTCTCCCCCTTCCAGCCTTTTGCTGCCACCATCCCCAACCCATCTCTCCAGCCCATTGCCATCTAGAACAGGGATACAAGCCTTTCCTGGCTCACTAGCCCTCTACTGCCAAGGGACAGTCAGGGAAGGTTTTTAGCCTGAATGTGTGATAGCTCTAAACTTGAGATGACACTAACACTGATCAGCATTTGAGAAACTTGAAGTGTAACGTGTAACAAAGCCCGTAGACTCCACTAATTAATGAACTGATAGATTCCACTGTCCTTTAACTTTCATATCTGAGAAGTTTTGTACCCTCAGCACCACAGATTTTGATGCTGTTCACAAATTAGGATTGAAAAAATTTGTAGAAGCCTCTTGTTAAGCTAATGATAGCTCATCAATGGCATGCACTCCAAATCTTATTTGAGCTTAAGGAAAGTAGAGATGTATTATATACTTTCTAGGCATAGAGGAAGTGGATATTTTTCTTATTTATAAGGGGCAGTGGCATATTCTGAAATGCTGATTTATAAATAATTGTTCAGTGTTCATTTCTTGATATTGTGAACTAATAGAACTGACAAGTAACAATACTAAAAATGATATCTTTGTCTTCCTATTCTATAAGGGTGATCATTGGTAGACACCAATGAGCAGGACTTTTATTATTGCAACACTTTGAGTCAGCAGAAAAAATGCTTAGTAACTGGAAGAGTGACAGGAAAGTTGTTTTGAAGAATGTCTCGCTGTAAAAGTGATAACATATAGGTAAATGCAGGCGAGTACAGTAACAGGACTTGTAATATATCATTATCAAGACCATAGCAACTGTTTGATAGTTTAGTAAAATGAGTGACAGCAACTCTGGGCCAGAGTCAGCTCAGTTGATACAGAAAAATGTGAATTTCCCTACCTGACTGTGTATAAATCTAGTCTTGTTTCATAGAATCATAGAGCTGTAGGGTTGGAAAAAGGAACTCAAGGAATTTGGAGTCCAACACCTTGCACAAGTAGAAGATATAATGTTCTTAAACCATCCCTGAAAATGTCTACTTAGCCTCTTGTTAAAAACTTCCAAGGAAGGATATACCACAGCTTTTCTAGGCAGCATTTTCTGTTGTCCTATTGTTCTTTCAATTGAAAAGTTTCATTTTTTTTTCCCCCTGAGATATAATCTAAACCAGTTCTACCATAGTTTTAAACCCTTTACCTGTTGCCACCCTTTGTGGCAAACAAGAACTATCTTTCCTCTATCTTCTTTATGAAAGCCTTTTAAAATATATGAAAACTGTTATCATGTCCTTCCTTAATTTCCTTTTTTCCAAACTAAATGTATCTAGTTTATTTATTTTTACCTCATAAGTTTTTCATTCCAACCCTATTATCACCTTTATCATTAGTGGACATGTCTACACAAGACATTTATTGTGGAGTAGACTAATTAGATCCACAGTAAGTGTCTCGGCATCTACATGCAGGGCAATTAGGTTGGAGTAAACTAATGAACTCCACAGCAGGATAGTACTTGTAAATACAAGTACTGTCCTGCTGCAGAGGTCTTTTTATTCAATAGCACTGTAGATGCTGGAGGGGCTGGCTGGGGCATGAGGGTGCTTCAGTGTAGGGGCCGCCTCCTGGCTAGTGGCCAGATAAGTCTCGTGTGGGATACCCAAGTTCAAATTCTTGTGGAGCAGTATTTCTTTTAGGTTATGCCAATGTGTGTGTGAGATTTTTCAGCATCTGTTCAATTTATAGAGCTGATAAAACACTTTAGAAAGTCCACATTTCTGAAAACTACCACCTCCTCAGGGGCATTTGAGGCATTCTCTGGAATTACTGTGGTGGACAGATGGTAGTGTGTGTTTTTTCCTGTTGTAGCTTCTCTGGTATACTTTTTTACCAGTTTATTTGCATCAGGTTAGTTTGATCTTTAACTTTGTTCTCTACCTCACATTCTTAAGAGAAGAAAAAAAACCAAAAGATTTTGGGATGATTGCATTCCATCTACATGCACTGAGAAGATTTTTTTTCTCTAACTTTTATTAAATCTGTATATATCAAAGGATTATCTATTAACTACTTATATCTCTATATTCTTATCAAAAAAGAATTGCTCAGAAATGCTTTTGAAGGCATTAATTCAGGTATTAGCTAGTTCTTTGGAGAACATTTTAAAGTCACAGGAACATAATGAGTTTAATTTTTTTGTTGGCAATGAGTCTTTCTTAGTTTATGGGTTTATTAAAGTACTGCATGTAGCTCTTCTAAATGTGAATTGTAAAGATAGTTTTGCCAGCATGATTTAAGATCATCTAGGTATGTCAGTGTTGCCAAAAATGTAAGCCAGAGACATGCATGTGTCAAAAATACAGGGGAGAGAAAATATTACAGTTAAAAGGTAATGTCTAAAAGTACAAAACACCAAAGGACATTGGAGTAAATGACAAATTTTATTCTAAAGGGCATTAAGAAATAGGAAGGAATAGATAGAAGTTAGGAGTTGGAAGTACATCTGTGCATCTTCTCAACTGGTGGAAACAGGAAAATGTATTCTGGAAATTTCCTTTCTTCAATGTGCATTTCAGTCTGCTTCCTCCCCAGTTGCAGAATTATACCTGTCATCAGTGGCAAAAGGAGAATAGCTCTCTTCGGAAGTTTGCACCACTTCAGAAGCCAAAATAATCCAAATTAACTGTACTTTGGAGGGAAAAAATAGCAATTTCAACTTCTGCAGTATAATATAAAGACCCAAATTGTCAAGATGATGCTTTTTGACTTTATAGAGGCAGAATAAAGAGATGCTCTCTAAGGAAGTGTTTCACATTGCAATCTACAGAATCCTTCATTTTCTAATCTTGCGACTAAGAATGTGGAATTGTGGATGCTTACTTGTGTGTGTGTTTTTAGGCTGATATCTCTTGTACCCCAACAGCAGTCTGCTGAAGAAGAAGAAAGAGGCAGAAGTGACTGAGCATGACAATTCATAACAACAGCAGAGGATAGCCAAGTCGTGCTTCTCAGGGAACATCAAGAGAAAGAGAGATCACTATACTTTGTCTAGGGCAGGGAGGACTCCACATACAATTTCATAGCACTCTGAAAAACTATCCAGTGTTAATCATTCTTGTATATAAAATATCGATCCTCCATCACTGATCAAGGTGTTAGAAGGTAAGGATTTTTTTTCTTCTTAGTGGAGTATACATAGGCCCATAGTATAATCTTTCTTGGAATTTGTCTTATGTCCTATAGGGTGGCCTGGAAAATTGGGGACTAGATTTGTGTGTCAAATGCACTCTCTGAGAATGAAACCAGATTTTTAAATTCTCTTTTTTTTTTCTATATAGATTTTATCCCTATGATCTCTGAATCAGAAAGCAGGACAAAAATGGACACTCGGTTGCTCCAGAAATATTGAAAGTCTTTTTCTGCAAACATCAGCCTGAGTTTCAAAGGTTTCTCAGTAGCCCAGTTGCTCTAATACTAATAATTGAAACTAAAGAAATACAGATTGGGCAAAGGTACTGTGAGGTACATGCTCAACAAGTAGTCATCAATGGCTCAATGTCTAGTTGGGAGGAGGTATCAAGTGGAGCTTCCCACGAGCCTGTCCTGGGTTCATTATTGTTTAATGTCTTCATTAATGATTTGGATGATGGGATTGAAGGCATGCTTAGCAAATGTATGGATGACACCAAATTGGTTAGAGTTGCAGATGCTCTGGATGGTAAGGTTAAGATCCAGAATGGCTTGGGTGGACTTTAAAGATGGTCTTTAATCCACCAGATAAAATGCAATGAGAACAAGTGCCAACTGCACTTGGGATGGAAAATGTGGGACACAAGTATAGATTGGGGAAAGACAGTACTGCAAAAAAACACTGGGCAGTTACAATAGATCATAAAATGAATATAAAGCAACAGCATACTCTTGTTGCAAAAAAAAAGCCAACAGTGTACTGCATTACAGCATGTACTGCAAACGAAAAGGTGGTCAAGCATTGGAACAGGCTTCCTAGAGGAGTTCAAATATTCCAGGGATGGAGACTCTACAAAAGCAGATTGGACACGGTGGTTTATTGAAGGACAATACTGCTTTGAATGGGAAGTTAGACTAGATGACCTTGTGAGGTCCCTTCCAGTCTACTACCCAGATTACAGATAATCTTGTGGGTAGCCTACTGATAAGAAAGGCAGAAACAAGTCTGCAGTCCAACCTTTTATTTGCTTGCACTTTAAAATATAAAAGCAAACATTTATCCTAAAGTCAAGCTGGTTACCCATGATAGCACAGCATAGATTCTCACCTATACTGTCTGGGGAGACTAAAGATGTGGGAGGAGGGTGTCAACAGTTGATTGGCAGCAGGTCTTCTTGAATTTGGCAAGTTCTCCAAATTTCTCTCCAGCCTATGCCCAATTTTTATAGGTGGCTTGTTCTAATAGTATAACAAATGACCTCTGATGGGTTTTATATAAACTTCTTTGTTTCACTGAAACGTTTGGAACCGGATTGAACCAGATCTCTTTTGTGGACGTGGAAGGTGTTAATTAATTGGGATTTACAGCCTTGGGAAAGTAAGAGGGAGGGTTTTTTATCTCCTTTCCTTCCCCATTGTGGAATGCTATTCAATCCTAGCCTGTTTCTTTTTTTTTACCTTAGTTTATGGTCTTCTCTGCTAAGATAGATAATTTGTAAAAACAAAACCAAAGCATTTTAACAAAAAGATTTCTGTTACAGCAAAGTAACGTATATAATACCCACACACACACTTGGGTTGCGTATTGTGTGTGTGTGCGGAGGCAAGATGGCCCTTATAATTCTGGCCATGTGCTCAGCAAATTATAAAACCCTCTGGCCTTATTGGCCAGAGGAAACAGGAGACCCTCCAGGCAGAAGAGTAAGAGAGAGGCTGGACTGTGGCACTGCCTAATTGGACAAGGCTTGGGTGCTGTCACACCAGGTATATAAGAACAACTCAACTAAGATTTCTATCCTCTTCTGCTGGGGCTGCTGAGAGCTGCACAGATGAATTGGGAGCCAAAAAACCTGCTCCCAGTGTGGTGGGGGGGGGGGCCTTCCCCCTTTCACTGGAGAGGCAAGCAAAAGCTATGAGATAAGAAAGCTTCAGGTACAGGGAGAGGAAGTCTTGGAGTTTGAGACTCCTATTTCTTCCCTTTCCTCCCCGCTTTTTTTTTTTTTTCTTCGGTGGGTTAGTGTCATGGGGTTATTAATCCCTGGAACAAACTGCCTAGGAATTGGTCCTGGCAGTTACTGGCTACACAGGCCTGAGGTGGATTAATACCGTGAAGGCAGAGTGACCTGGAGCAGAGTGACCTGGCAGTAACTGGCCACATGGGACTGGCCCCTGTGTCTGGGAATTGTAGTGTCTCAGCACTGTGGTAAAGCCAAGACTGGATGTCCAGGCTGCAGCCAGAGGCCTGGGCTCTTTTTGCTGTTTCACAGCTATTACATTTAAGCCTGGCTGTGCGGCTGAACCCCAGCCATATGTTTGCCTGGCAGATCTGGGCCAGGGTAAAGCCTGGCATGGCTTGAGCCAGGGTAAGACCTAGCACTACTTGTTGTTTATCCAGGCTCCCATTCAGTGTAAGCCTGGCCAGCTTTTTGCTGCCCAGATGAGGTCCAGTGAAATAGGTCTGGGCCTCCTTTTGTCTCTTTTGTAGCTTATGTCCCAACCAAGCAGTATGCTGTGCACTAGTTGTTGTTAAAGGCCCAAGCTGAGATAGGCTTGACCTTTCCTTTGAATTCTTCTGCAGGTTTTTGCCCAGCAGAGCTGGGATTGAGACTAGGGATTTTGGGATGCAGTATTTTATTGGTACCACCTATAAACTTCAAAGTATGTTAACAAAAACCACAGTTAACCCCTTGAAGTCACCATGTGGGAGTGGAGGTTGGTGCTCTATCATTTCTGCAGGAGCAGTGGAGCCCCTTGCAGCCCCCAGAAGGACCCATGCTCTTGAGCATCTCCTTGTGACTCAATAAACACAAGGAGCAGCTCATAGGACTCTCCAGTGTGGCCCTCCCTCTCCAGCCCATTGCTGAAGGGCAGGTATAGGGGTGCAGGCCCCCAGAACTACCCATTGGGGAGCCCCAAGTCCCAGACTGCCTGGGTATGGGTGAAGCCTCCCCCAATAGGGTGCCACCTATAAGCTTTGGTTTGTAGTAATAGTGTTTTAAAATGTTATATTGTGTAATAAATTTGGGTGTTTGTGTTTATAGTTTGCAAGGAGGGAGTTTTCTTTATGTGGGACACCCTACTAATTCATTTACTCTTTCCCAGCTGGTCTAGGTAGGGGCTTGAGCCAAGGTAAAATGTATTGAGTACCCCAGAATTGAACCTGGCTCTTGTTGCTGCTGACCAGTTCCCCACAGAATGGTCACACATATAATATATTTGGTTACATCAATCACTACTACTACTATTTTAAGATAAAGCTATGATATAGTATATTTGTATTATTTAATGAATGGTCTTCCTTTATAGTGTCTCCTGTCAGGCTTTGTGCTTTGTTTATTT